AGTAATAGATAAGAGAAGTTAATAGCTTATTACTATAGGATAGCTCTATAGAATAATAAGAAAAGTATACTATTCTATAGCCCCGGTTTTTCTCTTTCTAATAATATATATATTAGTATAGCTTAGCTTTTATTCCAGTTATTAAAAGGGTTATAGAACCCTTACTAATATATATAGAAATAGCTATAGCTCTAGTACGGCTAGTAATAGAGTCGGGTCTTAGGGACTAGGCAGGCGTTACGCCAGGAATATATAATAGATGCTAGGTAGCTATTCTATAGGTATAAGATAGATGAATTCCTCTACCTAGGTTAGAAGGCTACGTAGGTATATATATATAGATAAGTAAGTATAGGCCTATAAGTTAGGCTACGTACCCTAGGTAGTTAGGCCTTAGGCTATAGGCCTCAGCCCTCAGGCACGCCTTAGGCAGGGCTATAGGCTAGGCTACGTGCCAGGCTATAGGCGGCCTTAAGGTATAGCTATAGGGCAGGCCCTTCTACTTAACTATTCGTAATACTTTATTTAGAAGAAAATAAGAATATTTAATAAATTAATTAACGATTATTAATATATTCTTATAAAAGGTCTTAATTAAAGGTTCCTTCGATAATAATAAGTAAATAATAAAGTCTAATAAAATTAACTCCTAAGCTATTATTAATATTAATTATACTTTAGGTTTTCTATAAAGTCTATATCTTTCTACTTTAATTTTCTTATAAAGATTATAATTATAGAGTACTATTATAATTTCTTTTTTAATTCTTTTAAAATTATAATATTCTTAGAGTTATATAAAGGTTTTTATAATTCTTAAATATCTATAAGCCTTAACGTTATAAACCTATTTAATAAGCTTTATAATACTTATAAATAATTTAATAAGTATTATTTATATTATAATAATTATTATATAATAATAAAGAATTAAGTTCTTATCTTAATTATTTATAAAGATTATATTATTATTTAAGGGTATAATATACTTATAATTTAAGTATTTATTTAGAATATCTATTTTATTATTTTCCGATCTTTTATAGTAAATAATAGTAAAGTTAATTTCCGAAAGGAATTCTATTTATTTAATCTATTACTTATTAAAGTCTTTATTTATTATAAAATATATAAAACTCTTATAATTTATATAAGCCTTAATTTCGTATTATACCTTAAGGAGATATATTCTTTTTTCTTAAAATCCTTTAATTATTATTATAAATTCTTTATTATATATTTAATAATTAAGTTCTAATTTATATACCTTTTTTAAGATGAATATTATTAAATAAAAACGTTTTATTTATCTTATTAATTAAATTATCCTTTAATAGCGAAATTAGAAGTATTAATCTCTATTTCTATAGGTTTTTTAGGATATATTATAATTTATTAAATATATTCTTAATAATCTATTAGAATGCTTTTTCGTAAGGTTTATTCTATATAAACTTAATATCTTTAATTATAAAGATTATTAAAAGGTTAACGATCTTATTATATCTTTTTAATAATCGTTAATAGAAGTTAATAAAACTAAAGAAGATTTAAATATCTTTAACGTTTTTTAATATAAATTATTCTCTAATAGTTACTATTTTAGATTTTTCTATTTTAATTTCTCTTAATATAATTATATTTTAGGAAATCTATTTTTTATATATAGAAGTTTACTTTCTTAAATTCTATTAATAGTTTATAGTTATATAAATATTAAAAGATTTAATAACTATATTCTTTATATTATTTTATTATTTTAGAGAAGATTAAAATATCGTTAAAGTAAATTATTATAAAAATATTAAATAACTCTTATAATATATCGTTAATTATATTCTTAAAAGTTATAAAAGTATTAATTAATTTAAAAAATATAATTAAATATTTATAATATCCCTTTTATATCTTAAAAGCTATTTTTTATTTTTCTTTATTCTTTATATATATTAAATTATAAACTCCTTTAAAGTTAAATACTATAAATTAATTAACTTTTATTAATATATCTCAAAATTCTAATATTAAAAGTAATAAATAATAATTCTTAATAATAATATTATTTAATTATTTATAATTAATATATAATCTTTCGTTATTATTCCTTTTTAATATAGAAAGGATTAAATATTTTATAAAGGATATTAATAATTAAATATAACTTTTCCTAAAGTTTTCTCTAAAGTATTTATTAAATAAATCTATTTATTATAAATTTAATTTATAGATTTTATTAAATTATAAACTTTTACTTTCTTAAATTAAGATTTTATAATTATAATAAATATACTTTAATAATATTATATTAATTTCTTCTTTAAAGATTTTCTTATACTTTTAAATTTCTTTAAATATATTTTATAATCTTTTTTACTATTCTTCTTTAAGCTCTTTTAAAGTTTTCTCCTTTAAATTATCTTTATTTATAAAAGTTAATTAGAGGTTACTTAAGAGACTATCTCTAGGTCGTTCTTTAAGAGCTAATATACTCTATTAAACGTAGTTAACTATTTAAGTAATTTAAAGGTTCTATTTTCTAAGCTATAAAATACTTAGGATAATTTATTTTCCTTTTATATTAATAATATCGAAGGTTATATAGCTAAGTTAACGAGAAATAAATACTTAGAGGAGTCTAATCTCTATATTTATAATTCCTTTTCTATATAAGACTACTTATCCTTCTATTATATTAAGCTAATAAGGTTCCTCTTTATATTTTTAATTAATATAGTTTCTATTAATATATTAAAGGCTTATATAATTACCCTAAGCTCTATTATCTAATAGCGTACTCGCTTTTTTTCTTTTAAGTTTATTTTTTATATAGAAGTTATTCGTATTATAGATTTATTTAATAGAATAGATTACTTTTACTTCCTTTATCGATTATTATCTTTATTTAATTAATACTTACTTCTTTCTAAAAGTAATAATATAGTAAATAGCTATATAATATCTAGACTATTAAGGTCGAGCATTTAGTTATCTTTATAATATACTTAGAAGAGTAGTTTCTTATATACTTTATATAATATAATCTTTAATCTTTAACTTTAATTATATAATATATTAAATATATATTATTATTATAATCTTCCTATTATATATTTATAAAATAGTATTTATAATAATAAATAGGGTTTAATCTAAATATAAGTTATTTATAGCTTCGTTTATTTATATATAAGATCTATTTATAATCTAATCTCTTAAACTTAACTTTTATATAAGGCTTATATTAATAATTATAAAATATAAAATAATATATAGTTTTTTTATATATATAGTATTTATAATTATTATATATATATTTAAGCTAGAATAATATAAAGTACTCTATATAATTATAATAGAATACTAAGTTATTCTTTACTAAGAGTTATACTATTTCCTTAATATATTCCGACCTATAATATTTCTATAATTAGGTTCTATAGTAAACGATTTCGTCCTATAATATAAAGGGGTCGTAGGCTTTATTAAGGTTATTTATAGTATATTCTTTTTAAGGGATTTAAAGTTAGAGCTATCCTATAAAGGGTTCTACGTTTTAATTTATTTATATATATTTATAGTAATAATCTTAGAAAACGTTTACTAATATAGTAATTACTATAGCTTTAGATTTATCGCTCTTAGTAGTATATAAACTATAGCTTATTTAAGTAGTATATTAAATAGGTATATCTTATTTATATAAATAGTACTAATTTATAGAGATAGTATTATAAATTATATAATAAGACTTATATTATATACTCTATATATTTAGAGCTCTTAAGTATAGCTTAAGTAATAAATTAGGGTTTATATAAGTATTAAAGTCCTCCTAATATAATTAGAATATTAATTAAAATATAAAGAATTTAATTTCTAAATCCTTTCCTCCTCTTTCTAAATATAATTTATATTAATAATTATTATAAGATACTTAGTAAATATATTTAAGCGATCTTCCTAAATAATATTATCTTTAATTAAATCTCTAAATCCTTTCTATCTCTAAGTCTAATATCGAGGCACGCTAGATACTTAAGAGCCTCGCGCCTCCTATCGCTAGCCTTCTCGCGTCCCTAGGACTTCGATTTCTCGGGCTTGCTCCTCCAGTTAGTGCTATCGTAGACAATCCGGGTGATAACTTTAAGACGCGATAGCTTCTCAATGATCTTTCACTAGATGTCGCCCTCCTCTTGGCCTCTCTTAGTCTCGTTGGACTGACACCCCCTGTCGCCGTTATTGTTGACACTCCCGACAATGATTATCAGGACCCTACGGAGCCACTAAGGGCCGGCCAAGCTAGGGGGCTGGCCAGGTGCTAAGGGTTATGAGAGAACGTATATATAGGCTGCGGAGTGCCCCCCTAAGCTATGGAGGGCTAGAATTCAGATATATTCCTATCATATACCTATATTCTAACTACCTGCGGACCCTGTGGAAGACCCCTTCACTCTGCTCTGAATAACGCTCTGACAATAATGCTAGGAAGCGACAGCTCCTCAACGATCTGTCCCCCGAGGTTGCCCTTCTTCTTACTTCTCTCGGTCTGGGTAGACTTGCCCCTCTTATTGCCGGGTGTCAGGACCTGAACGAGGTATAAGACCAACAGGGGATCGCCTGGTGTTTGATCGTAGGAACTAAGAAGAGAGGACCGGGCATAGCGAGGGAATAGTTATAAGGAAGATTAACGGATCAAGGGTTTAGAGAAGTACATCGATTATTCTATCTTCCTAGAGATCCCTAAGAAACTAATAGTTAGTCCCTTCACTCGTTATATAAGACTCCTTGATACCGGGATTATCGATACCCTTAGTAACGATTTTAAGAAATAACGAGTTAAATAAATCTAACCTACGTTCTTTTAAGTTAAAATAAAATAATATTATAATAAGACGTAGAAAGATATATTACGCGCTAATATAGGGTCTTAGACCTAGGAGGTAGCGAAAGGTCTTTATAGTATACTATATACGTACTATATATAATAATCTTCGTTCTCCCTTAATATAACTAAAGTTATTCGTTTATTACGTATCTACTTTCCTATTAGGACCTAAGGAAAGTATAAGACCGATAGAGGATCGCCTATTATTTAATCGTAGGAATTAAGGAGAGAGGACTAAGTATAATAAGGGAATAATTATAAAAAAGGTTAATAGACTAAGATTTAAAGAAGGATATCGATTATTCTATCTTCTTAGAGACTTTTAAGAGATTAATAGTTAATCCTTTTACTCGTTATATAAGACTCCTTAATATAATAATCGATTTACCTTTAAAGGAGCAATAACTATTAAAATAATATATCGATTAGAGATATATAGAGTACTAGAAGATAAACTATTATAGGATAGTAGATAGAGAATATTAAAGAATTAATATAATTAAAGCTTAATATAGAATAAAGATAAAATATTAAGAATAATATATTCGATAACTTACTATTAATTATAAATAAAGAATTAAATTAATAATTAAAAGAAAAATAATATAAACTTATAAAGAAAAGGAAATACGAAGAATTAACTATATTTAAAAAGGAGATATAATAAACTTACTATTAAGAGTAATTAATAAATTAATATTAATACTTAGGGTAATACTTTATAAAGAATTATAAAGTACGCCCTTTATAAAGATATAATTATTAATTATTTAATATAAATGGATATCTTAGTCGGAACTTAATACTTTCTTATTTAGCTTAAATATACGATTCTAGCTTAATAAGAAGAGTTTCTATAGAGATATCGATAAAGTTATATATATAAATAATTACTTTATTAATACTTTATAATAGAGATAGATATTATATATATAAACGGAATACGGGTTTATCTATAAAGTTACTTAGAGAGTAATAGGGGCTTAGCTAAAGGGAGACGTAGATAACGATAATACCCGAGTACTCTAGATAATTATTAAACTATATAAATAGGATTAATAGTTTTAAGCCCTTAGTTAGAAATACTAAGTCTTCGTAAACGCTTACGATAGTATAGAAGTAGAGTTACCCGAACTTTTACTATAAATCTATAAAGTAATACTTTTATTTATAAAACTTAACTTAGATCTTATATAATAGATTATAATTTAGGGAATTCCGTATATAAGAATAGAATTAAATAAAGTAATTAAAAGAGTAAAGATTTTATTATAAATTAAGAGAAACCTAAAATAACGCTAAAATAATAAAGAGAGAAGCTAAAATAACCTATAATAGACTTAAAATAAGATTTATCGAAGAATAGCTAATAAATAATTATAAAGAAGAGATAACTAAAAACTAAATGATTAACTAAGTTAATTTACTATATTTTATAAAAGAATAATAAAATAATAGTAAATAAATAGAAGAAGGCTTAAAGCCCTAAATAATATTAAGTATTATAATTATAATAAATATAGATATTATATTAATAACTATTTAGAAGTATTATATATAAGTTATAGAAGATAAAGCTATATATATAAATCGTATAAATAATATTTAATCGTAAACTATAAACTATTTAGGGGAAGAATAATAAAAGACCTTTAATAGGAAGAACTATTACTTTTAAAACTAAAATAGTATAAAGTAATTATTAAATTATATATTAATAATAATTAAGTTAAAAGAGAGGTAATATTAGATAGAAGAGCTAATATTAATATTATTAATAACGACCTTTTAAAAGAAACTAGAGAATAATTAAAGTAAAAATAAAGTAAGCTAAAGGGGGTATTCCGAAATAAAGAGATAAATATTTATAATAAGAAGAAGATTAATAGCTAAATAATAGATAATTTTAAAATAAAGTATATAATAATAATAGAATATATAATAATAGATAATATTATAAATAGGTATAATATTATCTTAGGAAGACCTTAACTAGCTTAAATATAGTTAATAAATAATTAATTATAGAGCTATTAGAAATACTTTATTAAGAAATAAGATATTAGAATTATATTAATAAGAAAATAAATTAAAAGTATAATCTATTAATCCTTAATAATAACTTTAATTATATTATAGAATATATAAGCTCCTTTTATAATACTTTTATAAGAATATAATAAGAGAAATAAGCTATTTACTATAATCTTAATAGAATATTATAAGTTTTAGGATATATTCGATATTAAATAAACTATAACTTTACTATAGTATTATTAATAGGATTATTCGATAGAACTTAAAGATAGAAAGAAATTACTTTTTAGACCTATTTATACTTTAATAGAAAAGGAATTAGAAATATTAAAGGAATACGTAAACGATTTATTAAAAAAAGGATAAATTATATATTCTATTAGCTTTATTAATACCTTTATATTATTTATTTTAAAAAGGGGTAATAAACTTAGGATATATATTAATTATAAAGGATTTAATAAGATTACGAAAAAAGACTATATTACCCTCCTATTTATCTATAAATTACTTAATTAGTTAATAATAGTTGAGTTATTTATAAAATTAGATTTAAAAGATATTTATTATTAATTATATATTAAAATAAAGGATAAATAGAAAACTATATTTATAATAAAATATAGCTATTTTAAATACTTTATTATACTATTCGATTTTATAAATATATTAATTACTTTCTAAATATATATTAATAAAATATTAATTAACTTTATAGATATAATATATATTATTTATATAAACGATATCTTAATATATTTAATAATACTAAAAGAATATTAACGGAATACTAAAAGAATATTTAGAAGACTTTAAGAATAAAGCTTCTATATAAATCTAGAAAAATACGATTTTAGTATAATAATAGTAAAGTTCTTAGGGTTTATAATCTCCCCTATAAGTATATATATTATAGAAGAACGAATTACTATAATAAAGGATTAGCTAACCCCCCGATCCTTAAAAGACTTTTAAAGATTTCTTAAGTTTATAGGTTTTTATAAGCGTTTTATTAAAAACTACTTAAAAATCGTAGCCCTTTTAATTAATAAGAATACTAAATAATTAATAATAGACTTCTAGTTAAATACTATTAACTTAATAGCTTTCTAAAAATTAAAGTTTATATTTACGAAAGCTCCTATCCTCTAATACTTCGATAATAAATTAAAAATAAGAATTAAACTTAATATATTAAACTTCGTAATTAAAATAGTCTTTTCTTAATTAGAGAATAGCTATTAGAAATTAATTACGTACTTTTTAAAAAAGCTTAAAAGTATAGAGTTATAATATAATATATTAAAAGCGGAAATAATAATAATCGTAGAGTCTTTTAAGATATAGAGATAATACTTTATTTATAGTAGATTAATAATTAAAATCCTAATAAATTACTTAAATTATAAATATCTTATAGAAAAACCGAAGATCTTAGGACGATAAGGAAGATAATTATAAGTATTATTAGAGTTCGACTTTACTATCGAATACTAAGTAAATAATAGGAACTTAGTAGATAGCCTCTCTAAGAGGCCCGATTATAAGTTAAGTTAGGAAGAATAAAAGTAAATAAAGGTATATTATTTATTATTATAAATAAAATAATTCCTTAATATCGTCGAAACTATTATTATAATAGATTAATAGCTAGATAATAGACTTATTAAAGAAGCTATCTTAGAAACTTAGGAAAATAATAGCTTTTATAAGATAAGAAAAAAGTAAAGGCTACTTAATTAGTAAATAGAAGTAAATAGCCTATTAACTTTTAAAAATAAGATCTTTATTCTATAAGATAAGGCCCTTAGAAACGAAATCCTATAGTAAGTTTATAATAGCTTAATAACGGGGTACTAAGGAGTTAAGAAGACTATTACTTAGCTTAAAAATATATACTTCTAAAATAACTTAATTAAAGATATTAAAGAATATATCCCTATATATTTAATATATTAGATAATAAAACCCTAATACTATAAGCTATATAATTAATTAAATAGTTTATTATTATTTAATAGTCCCTTTAAAGAGATATCTATAGACTTTATTATAAGACTCTTTAAAGTTAATAAATAAAACGCTATATTAATTATTATAGACCGCTTTATAAAATATATTCTATATATATTAACTAATAGTAGACTTATAATAGTTAATTTAGTAATTACGCTATAAGATTATATATTTAAGAGATATAGCTTTTTAAAAAATATAATCTTAGATAGAGGGTTACTATTTATTAGTAAGTTTTAGATAATTTTATATAAAATAATAGGAATAAAGAGACGACTCTTAATAGCCTTCTATTTATAGATTAATAGTTAAATAGAATAATAGAATTAGAACCTAGAATATTACCTCTAAATATTCTATAATTACGAATAAACGGACTAGATTTCCTTACTACTTATAGCGGAATTCGTATATAATATATTATTCTATATAATAATCTAATAATTATTAATAGAAGTATTAATAGGTTATAACCTAGCCGGACTAAAAGACTTAGGCCGAGCTATACGATAATAAAGGAATTTAGAGATAGCGGAACTATAAGTAGCTTAGTAGATAATTAATAGAAAAATAATCTATAGATTCTTAGAGATTAATAATAAATACTAAACTTATTATTATAATTAAAAAAGAATTTAGAAAGAATATAAAGTAAGAGACTTAATTCTCCTCTCTATAAAAACGATTAAATAGTAAAAACTTAATAAAAAGCTATTTAATA